AGAAAAGGAATATTTATCCGCTAGTGCGTGCAACCGTGACACAAGACTATGTCACGTGACGCCTAACAACGTATCTAAATACTTCTATTTAGACATTAAATAAGTTTTTTTTATTTAGTATAAAAGCCTCTGTTTTTCTACTTATATTAAGTTAAAAGCAGTAAATGTACATCTGCTATCTACTAGAGCTAGGCTCTACCTTTCTTATAATATAAAAGTAGTAGTAAGGCTTTAGCTAATACTTTATTTTACTATAACTAAAGCTTAAGTGTTATTAAAGTTTTTTTATAAGCTAAAGTTTTATTAAAGCTTATATTTTTTAAGTTACTTTAAAAGTTAATTTTTTTAGTAATTTTATAACTAGTTATAATATAGTCTACTAACTTATAGTCCTTATTATTAATTAAGTAGTAGTAGAGAAGCTAGTTATCTAGCTAGCTAGCTTTCTATTAGAAGTAGTAGAAGATACATTGTTTTATATGTTATAGTCTACCTATAGTAGCTTTTTATACGCTAAGAATTTCTAACAGTGCTAACAGTTAGTTTTTTTATAAGTTAAAGTTATTTTATGCTAGTGTTAGTTTTTAATGTTATGTTTCTAAGAAGGCTACTATTCTACCTAATGCTTAATTTCTTAATGTTGTGCGCAGAAGCGTCTAGAGCAGTAGTGCTAGAGGTATAGGCATTCTGCTAGGTTAAGGCAGAATAAAATTAGCTGTGTCTGCGTCTATCTTAGGTAGTCCTGTATTTAGACTACTTGTACTAAGTGTTTCTTCTATTAGCATGCTTTTATTATGTAAAAGGCGCTATATATAGAACATACTATTCTATGTTTTATTAGAGTGCTAGCGTCTTCTAACTAACTGCTAAGGGTAGGAAGAGTGTCTGTAGTTACTTACTGCATATAGTAAAGACTTTAAAAGTAGCTGCCTTAATAAGCACTTTTTTTTTATTTATCTTTAATTTTTATAAAGAATTCCTACTAGTCTTTTTTTTAGTATATTATAAAGTGCTCTAGTAATTTATACTATTACTTTATAAGTTTTATAGTTATTTTCTATAGTTACTTTATAGTCTACTATAAAGTAGTAGTGTTTAAAGTTGTAGTAAGCTCTACATCTTTAGTAGTAATGCTGCTAGAATTACCTAGTAAGTGTTTTAAAAAAGATTTTTTATGTTTATTATTTAAAAAAGAACTATTTTTATCTTTTTATAATATTCTTTGTAAATTTTTTTACTTACGCGCTGTTTTAGTATTTTTTAAAAATAGTAATTTCTTGCAGCGCCTAATTAAGGCTGTTAAACTCTTAGAATTCTACCTCTTAGTATAGTATAAAGTAAGTTACTAAAAAATAGTTTTCTTTATATTACTAGTAAAAAGAGTGATTTAACCTCTTGTCTAATTCTTTTTCTATAAGACTATATTTAATAGTAATAGCTTTTATTACTATAGTAGTATTTTTATTTTTTACTTTTCTAAAGTTTAAACATTTTTAGTAAAAATAGCCTACTTTTTATAATTTAGGTAGGCTTTTTTCTAAAGCTATTTTTTTAAAAATTTTATTTAGTAGTAGCCTATTACCTTTTTTTAAGAGTTTTATTCTTCTTTTAGAAGGTACTATACGTGTATTTCATGTAGCTAAGATCTATTAGTTCTTTGCTGTATCTAAGAACTTTTTTCCTAGTTACTAGTTTAGGCTTCTAAGGTGCTGCGCCTAGTTTCTTTTTACATTTATATTCTTTATACTAGTTATTATAAGTTATAGCTTATTTAATATAATTTTTAAAGTATTTAGTTTTCTATTATATATAAACTTATTTTTAATTATATTATATAGTTCTTTATAAAACATTTTATAGCCTTTTAGTCTGTCTATCTATAGATAATAAGCTATTTATAGAAGTAAGCTGTATAGTGTTGTACTATTTCTTTTTTTATTGCAGAGAGTTTATTTTATCTGCTGTTACCTTCTTCTTATTTATAAGTTTATAAATTATAGTTAGAGCTTCATTAAATAAATTTATACCACTAAATATCTTCTTTGTTTTAAGTAAAAGTGTATTTTTATATGCTTTAAGGTTTATTTAACTATTAGCATAGAGTTAAAACTAGACAGCTAGTAAGCTGTCTAGGTGTAAGCCTATTTATAAGATTATTTCTTTATAAGTTTAAAACACCTCTTTATTATATTACATGTATAGATAGCATTAAGTAAAGAAGGGCTTAAGGTTTTTAGAGCTTCTAGTAAAAAGTTTAAAAGAGGCTAATTCTAAAGTCTTTTTAAAGGCTATGCTCGCTTTTTCTTAGGCAGTGTTCTAAAGGTTTAACACTTTAAGTTATAAGGCTTAGATTTATATATTAGCTATAGTAAGTTCTTAATTAAAAGCTATTACTTTTTATTTTATTACTTTTAGCTTTTATAATTTGCTGCTTATAGTGTTTATTTATTTTATAAAATCTTTTTTATGTAGTAATAAGTTTTTACTAGTTCTAGCTAAGGTTATACTTATTATCTCTATGTTAGTAGTTAACGTACCTAACAGGTTAGCCGGCTACACAGGTTAGCTGGCTACTTTTGCTAAGCCCCTACTAAACTCTACCTATCTACATAATGCCTTAACAACAACACTAGATTAAATCTTCTAAAGAATGTTAGATATAGCTTACTTTTTAGGCTTTTAAATAAAACTTAAAACTCTTCTTATAACACGCTGCAGCTATTTATAATGTCTTTTATATAACACTAAGTAATTAACGCGCTAGACAGCCTTTACAAGTAAAATGCTAGCCTAAATTAAGAAATCTAACTAAGTTTAAAAAAAAGGTAGTTATTAAGTACATACTTAAGCTTATTACACGCAGATTTTCTTTTAGGCTTATAGCTATAGCTAATATAGCTAATTCCTTGCGCGTAGAGTGTAATCTAGGCTAGGTTAGCTTAAACTAGCCTAGTATGTAAGTTAAGCACTACTCTAAGTTTATAATAAAGTTTAATTATAAGTATAATTATAAAAAAGCACTTTATAAAAATTTAGAGGTTATCTAAAGCTAGTTTTACCTAGTAGCTAACATAAAAGCTAAGTATAGTATGTAGAATAAAGACACATATAACTTTAATAAGTTAAGCTTTATAATAGGCTAGATATTAACTAAAGTAGTTATTATAGCTTTAAAGAAATAAAGACAGCTAAAGGTAATATAGTAAAGTAATAAAAAGTAAATAATAGTTATTTAAAGCATTAATATAATAAAGTAAGCTATTTTACTTTTTATTACTTTTAAAAGCTGTTATTATTTTTTTACCTAGTATTAAAAAAAATCTGCTTTAAAACTAGGTTATTATAGTCTCTAAAAACAGCTGGATAATAAATAAGCTTAGGCTATAGTAGTTAAAGCACTTTAATAAGCATTAAAAAAAGTTATAAGCGCTTATTAGCTTTTTATTATTAATAGCTATAAAAGCTATAACTTACTTAATTTTTAGTAGTACTATAAAGAGAATAATATTATTACTATTTAACGTACTTCACGGGCGAGTTGCTCACACACCTGAGTTGCTTACTTTTGCTAAGACCCCACTAAACTACTCTTCCTACACTAATGCATTCCTAACAACACCACTTAGACGCGCTAAAAGAACATAAGATATAGTTTACGCTCTAAACTTTTAAATAAGACATAAAACTTTTAAAGAAACGTGCTATAGCTACATATAAGGTCTTATAAATAATAATAAATAACTATAGCACTAGATATCCTTTACAAGCTAATTCTATAGCTAACTTATAAAGGCTACGCAATAAAAACAAGCAGGTAATTATTAAGACTATACTTAAGCTATATGCGTAAGGATTTTCCCCTTAAATAGCATTTATAGCTAATATAGCTAATTCTTTGCGTGCTAAGCAAAATCTAGGCTATGTTAGCATAAACTAGCCTAGTACGTTTGTAAAGTGTTATTTAAAGCTTAAAGTAAAGTTTTAAGCGCAAGTATAGTTAATAGATGTTTAGCTTATTATAAAGCCTGTTTTACTAAAGTTGTACATGTTATTATCCTAGATGCTATGCTTAGCTTTAATATTCTTTATAAGGCTAAACCTGTTCTAAATTACCCTAGGACTCTTGTAAAGAGCTCTCTTATAGTTGTACTTACACTTAAATGTTACTTTAAGCTCTAAATAACGCTTTATAAACGTACTAGGCTAGTTTATGCTAACATAGCCTAGATTTTGCTTAGCGCGTAAAGAATTAGCTATATTAGCTACAAATGCTATCTAAGGGGGAAATCCTTACGCATATAGCTTAAGTATAGTCTTAACAATCACCTGCTTGTTTTTATTACATAGCCTTTATAAGTTAGCTATAGAATTAGCTTGTAAAGGTTGTCTAGCGCTGTAGTTATTTATTATTATTTATAAGACCTTATATATAGCTATAGCACATTTCTTTAAAAGTTTTGTGTCTTGTTTAAAAGTTTAGAGTGTAAACTATATCTTACATTCTTTTAGCGCGTCTAAGTAGTGTTGTTAGGAATGCATTAGTGTAAAAAAAGTAGTTTAGTAGCGTCTTAGTAAAAGTAAGCAACTTAGGTGTGTGAGCAACTCGCCTGTGAAGTACGTTAATTATATAACTTATATATAATTAAGTTTATAAGCTTATGTAGAGGATAAAATAGCCTAGCAGTAGCTGTTTAGAAGATTAGATGAAGTAACTCTGCTATCTAAGAGAGTTAAAGGCTCTTCTTATATACACTAAGCTTTAGAACATAATATATCTAGATCCTAAGCTGTGTCCTAGGCTCTAAGCTCTAGTCCTAGGCTCTAAGCCCTAGCTAAGGCTCTTAGTATACGCGACACACCCCCTAGGTGAGCTACGCAGCTGCTTACCTGCGTAGAGCGTTAACTTAGCTTATTAGAGCAGCGCTGCGCATTCACTCTATGTTTATGCTTATTATGTATTGTTCTTAGTAATTCTAGTGCTTGTTGCCTTAGGCAGCGCGATGCTTGTATCCCTAGGCAGCGCAATGCTTGTTTCCCTAGGCAGCGCAGGTTACGTGGGTGCTATAACTGCTGTAATAAAAGTAAATAAATTTTTTTACTTCTTAAAGTTCTTTTCTATAAGTCTAACTAACATACTATGTATAAGTTAATGCTTTTAAAAGCTTTAAAAATAACTTTAAACCTGTCTGTAATCTCTACTAACATGCATCTATAGCTTAACAAAGCTAAAAGAGCTGCCTGCGCGCGTGCTGCCGCTCTGCGCCCACCCCCCGCAAGCCCGCGCCCACCACCCCCCGCCGGCCTCCCCCTAGTGTGCTCCGCGCACAGTCCTGTCTAGGCTGCATAAAGAGTGCGCTTGCAGGGCGCTCTAGTAGAGAGTGCTATAATTCCGCCTCTAGCAGTTCACGCTGTTAACGCTGTTCCTCTAGGCACAGTTGCCTGCCCCTGTAAGCCCTGTAGCAGTGTGTGGGGTAATCTAGTGTTAACCTATTTGCTATTTGCAGTCCCCCTGTTGCTGTCATCTATGCGCAGCGCCTTGTTGCAGCCCATGTTGCAGAGGACAAGCAGGTAAGCTTCTCTGCAGAGATTGTGTGTTATACCCTAAATTAGACTAACAAGCTATAGGCTGTGTTCTAGCTTTAGCTAGTTATTTAAGCTTTACTTTAAAAAAAATATAGTTAAAAAAAAAGTAAAGTAACATTTCCTCTAGGCTCTTAGTATGTTGCTAGCGCGCTAAGAAGCTCTTAGGTAAGCTTATTAATCTTCTTATAGTTTAAGTATTTTATGTTTTTGCGCATCTTATGTACTAAATCCATACTTAAACTTTATAGCATAGAGGAATGTTCTTACTAGTAGATAAACCTTTTATTTTTAAGTAGTATAAAAATATTTTTACTATTAATAATTAACACTTTTTTTAAAAGCTTTTTTTAAACGTTTTTAAAGTTAAAAAGCTGCTTAAAGTGCTTAAACTACTATCTTAGTAACTTAAAAAAAACATCTAATTAGCTAATAACAGCAAGAAGAAGGCCTCTACACTAATTACTAGTAATAAAGATAAGAAGAAGGATTATACTAAAGATAAATTAGTTATAGAGGTTGCTGCGCCTACTCTAGCCTAAAGTTAACATAGCAGGCAGATTAACCTTTCTAGAAGGTTTCTTATATAATAAATTAGTTAATTAGTATTGCGTTTGCTAAAAGGTTAACCTTCTAGCTAGCGCAGCAGAAGGATATATATAGACAGATAGCTGTATGCAACACACCCCCTAGCTTAAACTGTGGAACAAGAGAGGTAAAACATAGTGAAACAACCTTAACACACCCTCCTAGCCTAAGCAGAAGAACTTAGAGACAGATCTAGTAAGGTAGCCTCTATAATAGACGCACTGCCTAAATGCTTTTTACTAAGCATAGAAATTAAACACACTATGCTTAAAGATAATGTAATCTTTTTAGTAGAATAGGGGTGTAAAATTTTTTTAAGCGCTAACTATCTACACTACGCTGCAAACTAGGCTTATAACTGTTGCGTTTGCTAAAAGGTTAACCTCCTAGCTAGCACAGCAGAAGGATATATATAGACAGATAGCTGTATGCGACAATTAGTAAGCTCTTTTTATAACTCTAGAAAATTGCTTTATCTTATAAGCTCTATAGAGCTGTACAGCTTTAAAAGTTAATAGAGATAACATCTTAAAACCGTGCGCTACGAGGGGCCGTGCGTTAGGCGATGAAACACGGTAGGGAGCTAGTTAGAATTTAATTATTCTATTAAATTTTAGTAATGAAAAAAAACAGCTGAGGAACGCTTAAAATATTTCTAATTTTTGCACGTAATAAATTACAAACCCTTGTCCTCCTGCTTCCTTTTACATGGCCTGTGCCTCTAGAGGTGCCTGACGTTGGATGTTCGTCTAACTATGTCTTGTAACAGGAACATACACACAGGCAAGGCTACATTGTTTTATTGCGCACTTTCTTTGTTGAGTATATCTAACGCCCTACCCTTTACTATCCCAACTATTACATCCTTGAAGACTATTCATTCCTCCTCCCCCCCGTGCTTGAATCGCCGCGTAACGCCATTATGTCATCGCGTCGTTTACATCGTTACCAATCTAGAATTTACACTCTCCACTCTCTAAATCCGGTTCCTGCAAACCGTTCTATCATGCTCTAGTCACATCCTATTTATGGTGGTAGGGAGAGAGCATGATGCAATGCGATGTGATGAATTCCCATTTCCATGACAACATCTCATTCGACTCACTCGAAAGTGATGGAACGAAGATGTGCTGTGTCGATGAGGGGGGTTTCTCCTTTTGCGAACCCGAAACTCAAAGGTGACAGCTACAGCTACAGCAAATGTCCAATCTAGTTCTTTTTTATTTTTTAACTTCTTTCACCTTTTTAAGAGTAGTATTCCGCTTTCTTTCTTTTTTTTTTTGTTTGGGAGCATGTCTAGCCCTAAAAGTCAGCACACATGAGGCATTTTAAAGGACGGGAGAAGTTACTAGTGATTGTGCCTGTCCTAAAAGAAGGCGAGGGCAGCGAATAAAGCCAGGAGACCAACTTTGGCTACCGAGACCTTAAGGGCAGTTCCAGCGCTATGGTTCCAATTGGGATGTGTGTATGTCGTGGACGGATATGTCGTGCTGGAGGACGAATATTTGGTTGCTGAAGAGACCCCGGAGATATCGGTAGATGAAGGCAGGGAGGAGGGAGAGGAGATCAATGATCTGGAGGGCGCTCGAGAGGCAGAGTGAGTGATGATTTTGAAAAGAGGGGAGGAGTGAGTAGATTTGGAGAGAGACATGGTGGTCGAATTTTTCGTTGTTGAAGGCAACTCAGAAACGTAGGTGACTTTGAGTAAAGAGGCGGAAGAGGTGATAAACGGCCCGGACGGAGTGATGACTTTGATGAGAGGGGAGGAGTGGGCGGATCTGGAGGGAGATACGGAGGACGGATCCTTGGTTGTCGAAGAGACCTCGGGGACTTTGGTAGATACAGGCAGGGAGGTGGACGGGTAGGTCAGCAACCCAGAGGGAGAATGAGAGGCGGAGGGAGTGATCATTTTGAAGAGAGGGGAGGGGTGAGTGGACCCGGAGAGAGGTTTGGAAGATGAACCTTTCGTTGGTGAGGGCAGAGAGACGGAGGATGTGATAAAAGGCCAAGAGGGAGTGATGAGTTTGAAGAGAGTAGTGGGGTGGGAGTATCCGGAGAGAGACACGTAGGACGAATTTTTGGCTGTCGAAGAGACCTCGGGGACGTCGATAGATAAGGACTGGAAGGTGGAGGAGGTGATCAACAACCCGTAGGGAGAATGAGAGGCGGAGGGAGTGATGATTTTGACGAGAGGGGAGGGGTAGGTGGATCTGGAGAGGGACACGGAGGACGAATTTTTGTTTATCACAGAGATTTCGGAGATTTCGGTAGAAGAAGGCAGGGAGACGGAGGGAGTGATGCTTTTGAAGGGGTGGAAGGGGTGAGTGGGTCCAGAGAGAGATACAGAGGACATGATGGGTGATGACTCATTTCCCACTCCAGACCCCAACTTCGTGACAGTGTGGAATCTAGTGCTGGTAACTACCGAACTTATAGAGGACATGAAAGCAGAATCCAGAGCCGTGGGGTGTGCATCGGTCGGGGGAACGATAGAAGAATACCCTCCTATTGTACCATTGGAAATCGTAGAAGGTGCCTGACGTGAGGTTTCCACACTGCCGTGCTGCTTTTTATGACCTGTTGGAACCGGAATTCCTGGGGTAAGAGAAGCTCTTGAAGTGCTCACAGACCCAGTGGGGACAGGCGTTCCAGGTGTGGAAATACCTTCAGACTTTTCGCTAGGAATCACAGATTCAGTTCCGGCCGAGGGAACTGGAATAGTGGCCAGTGTGATGATGTTCGTCTCGATGGCCGTCTCTTTGAATCCACCCTCACACGTCATACATAGGACAGTAGTTGTGATATTAGTCGAGGAGTGAATCGTAACCACTGCGATATCCGTTTTGATATCCACCCTCGTCTCCTGCGGCGGTTGGGAAACCACCGCGGTAGATTGAATCACCGTAACATTACCACTTTGCATCTGATATCTAGTGGGATATGGTTCCACATACCCCTGAGGAGCTAAAGATGGTTCATCTAGAACCGTAGTGGGGCCGCAAGGCGCTGAATCCGGATTGCAGTGCTGCTTTTGGCTAGAGCTAGACACTATCCTGAAACTGGGAGGTGGTGGCATGACTGGAGTATAGCTGGGCTTCCCCCAGGAAGGGGGCAACGACGGTCGAATGACCCTGTGACCTGATTTACCCCAAGAAGTCGGCAACTTTGGCTGAGCATGGAAGTGGTTAGATCCGACCGAGGAAGAAAGAAGCGTCCGTGTGCTGCGGGAAGGGCTCAAAGTTTTTGTCCTCCAAGAGGTAGGCAACAACGGCATGACCAGAGTTCGGCTGGGCTTTCCCCTGAAACTTGGCAACGTGGGCACAACGAGAGTCCAGTTGGAAGTGTTTGTGGGAGGAAGTAGTGCCTTGGTTCCATTTATGTTGGTTGGTGCCAGGTATACCCTGCTCGTGCTGGTACTCTTTGGACGAGTTACAGCACCGAAACTCATCCAGAATGCAGGGCTCATGGAGCCTCCGGTGTACGGCATGAAAGCCCCACTGGATGCTGTGAGCGTCATAGTCGAAGCCGTAAACGTACCATTATACGTAGCGCTTAGAACGATAGTCGTTTCGTAAAAAGTTGGAGGCGTGAGTTTTCCTAACCAACTAGTAACAGGTTCCACATACGATATATTGGAGGGAGTCGTTGTTGTGTTCAGGTTCGGGGGTAATTGCGATGACGTAGGTTTACTAACACTAACAAAGACCGTGCTATTTTTGTATGGAGGCGTGGGGAGGGCTTTGGACATCCACGAGGGCCTGGGGACATTAACAGCAGCCGATGTGTTATAAGTAGCCGACACCGGCTGCGAGGTAAGGGCTGGAATGGTTAAGCTCAAGGCTGAAGAAGCTCGGGTAGCAACAGAAGTCGAAGAAGTCACAATTGTATGCTTGTGTGTCCAAGTCCTCGGTGCAGTCCTCGAAGCATTCCAGCTCCTCGTTGGCGTCTGATTGGACGTGTGAATCCAAGTAGTAGAAAGTATGACATAACTTGACATATCTACCGAGGTTGGAGCATCAGGATCCATGAATTGACTGAGAGAGTTGACTGGAGCATTGACCTCCGCTGTCGTAATGAACGGCAGAACCCTACTCCCATGTACAGGGCTGCTGGTGTCTGGAGGAAGTGTCGGGGTGCTATAGACACCAGACGATGAAGGGGTTGCAGGAGAGGGTACTGTTTCAAGAACTGACAAGCTTGACAATGATTGTTCGCTAATAGGCACCAGGAGGGTGGAAGTCAACGAGGGGTTTGTGGAGCTACTGGGGTTTAGCACAGCTGCAGGCAACAACGAGCTCGAGGGCGACGGCTCAACAGTGGGCATAGAGGAGACAGTGGAAGCCCCCGAAGAGCTACTCATTCCTGACGGCAGGATTAGGCCCACCCTCTTCACATTCACCGCCCCCCAGACCGAATCGTCAGCCTTTGCTGGCATGAGCTGATCCTTGAGATAGCATGGGTTATACTCGGGACTAAAGTGCTTGTATGAAACGGCAACACATCGCGGTTCCTCGTCGCAGGCCGAGAGACAGGTGGTCAGGTCATTGACGTACGTCGGGTTGATGGAAGAGTCACCGCCGTAGTAGTCGGCTGCGCATTCCAGGTGGTATTCTTGTTGACCGTAGCTGATTACCATTGTATGATTGTATTCGGGGCACGTCGCTTGAACTACGGTGCTGTCGACGGTGGGCAGAGGGGCTTCCGAATAGTAGCTTGGCGAAGAGGAGGTAGAGAGTTCCAGAGATGTAGCTGATGGTGCGCCGACAGGGGCCATCACCCATCCAGAGATAAGGGCAGATGGCGCCGGAGCTATCATGTGGTCAGAAATCTCTAAATAGATAGAAGGAGCAACAACCTACGAGCACCATACGCTACAGAGACAGAGACGCCAGAGAACACCACCTCAGGCGTTACAGAATTTGGAGCCCGGGAGATAGAGGTAGCGCCAGATGGAGCAGGAGCTATTTCATTATAAGCACGTACTGCACAACGAGCAAGGAGCGATGTCAAACTTACGAGCACCATGGGCCACCAGTACAGAGATGGTGGGAAATTCCAGCTCCGGCATCTGCGACGCTGGAACAGAAGAATCCGAACTAGAAGAGAGCGAGGCCGTAGGAGTGACAGTGGATTGGGCCACAGCAGTGGTGTCCTCCTCTTCAGCGAAGGTTTCATACAGCTGTCCATTGCTAATGGGGCTAGCTTGTCGGGCGGCAAGCTGCCCAGCTGATTTGGGAGAAATTGGAAGGATCTCTATGGCTGTGCCAGAAAGAATCGAGCAGTCCAATCCTAGATAGCATAGTTAGATCCACCCGGCGACGGAAATAGCTATGGAGAACCACATACCCCAGGGAAAAGAGGATCTTGATTGAATGCAAGTAGTCGGTCTTTCAACCGAGGCTGGGACGAGTGGAGAAGGAGAGACAGAAGAGGGTGCGTTTGTACCTAGGGATCTTCAGCTTCAAAATTTCTTACACAGGAATTGCCTAAGTTTATTCATACCTTGCGGCCGCTGATGCGGCAGCGCCGCACAGCCGCCGCAGAACACAGCAATGGGCAATAATGTCCAAAGTGCTTGCATCTTGCACGTATTCTTCCGCTGTTCTGTGTTGAATTTCCTGCTTTCGCGTCCGGGGTAAAGAGAGAAGAGAAAAGAATATTGCAGAGAGAAGAAAAAGCAGGAGAGAGACAGCAGTTGAGAAAGGAAAGGCTCTGGGTTATTTAGGGTAGCTAATGCTTGTGATCTCCTTTCGAAATCGTGTCCTGAGGAAGGAGGGTTGTTACATACCGCAGGCCCCGACGTGTTAGCCTCAGCTGGGGCTCCTCCGGTCCACTAGGGATGTTGGGATATCGGATCTGAGGGAATTGAAGATTCAAGCACCGAAGTGGTTGACATGCTTTCGAAGAATATCCAAAAATTGGGATTTGAATAATTATCTGTGTGAATAAAATGCTTCATTTGTTTTTGGAGCTCCGATATTATCCACATATACCACACGGATATATGAAAAGCCAATGTGTATTTTGGTATCATAAACCCTTCAATATGCGTCTCTTTGATCGCCCACCCAAGCAGAATGGGCTTTGAGTGCATCGGAAACTAGTGCTTGAGTTAATAGGCTGTCGATTGAATTGTAGGGAGGTTTCTTAGCTCTCCGAAGATGGCGTTGGGAAAGGGGGTTATTACTCACCACACTCATAAACCATGGCACCTTCCCAAGACATGAGGATACCGAACCCACTTTTATAAGGAAATGTCGCAACGAAGCCAGGGGATACAAATCCTAACATTTCAAGCAGGTATGATGCAGACTTCTCAACCCCAGAGAAATCCGCAATCCAAACTCATAAAACTCATCCAATCCATCGAACGTGCACCCACTACACGCCACACACCACATACCACGTACTCTTCGAGCCAAAACACTCAAGCTAGCCATGTCGAATCCTCAGCAGGCACCTAGCGCATGCTCCTGGGCTGCCGCCACAATGTCCCACCTCAACGCGGCCGTCGAGAAAGGTATCTCCACCCATCCTCTCACAATGACAGTAGCGGCAGTGGCATCTGCTCGCATGGGCAATATCTAGGTGTGTTGAATGGGTTTCCCATCAGTTCCCTCGGAACATTCGCTAACTCATTCCGTTCCGTTCCGTTCCGTTCCGTTCCGTTCCAGAACTACGATCCGCATCAACTCCAATAGCCAGATATAGTTCGAACCGGCATGACGGCGCCAGCGCCTCTTTCTTTCCCGGTCCGTCGTCTCGGTCAATGAGAGGGATGCTGTAATTGAGGAGTGCGTGGTCAGCGCACCTTAGTCCAGTACCCCTGCTTCTTCTACCGCTGTTGGAGTTGAGGTGCTGGAGGTCGTGAAGGTTGTAGATGGTGAGTCAATCAGCCCTACCTATGGCTGGAAGTTGCAGCATATCTATACACTTGGCGCTTCGTGCCCTGACGCTTGGCGTTCCTATATCTCCTCCCAGACGAGCCTTCCAGGATTCTGTTGTGAAACTGTTTCCTCCTACTCCCAACATTTCACACTTCCTCTTCCCCTACCCCAACCACTCAACTAAGCAACAGGCACCGTCACTGCCATCACTCCCATCTCAACCGAGCCCAGAACAAGGCGCAATACCTCACTCATCTATTGAGCAAGAACGGAAAGAAAAGCCAAAAGATCCTGATCAACATCAAGGAGAGGCCGGATACGAAAAAGAAGGGGCCGAGTGTGACTACTGTAGCGTTTTACCAGAGACAGTCGCATTCATTCCTGGGATCCAGAAACAATTTGGTGCGGTACTTAACTATTATGGGAGAGGAATAGGGATTCTTACAGAAGTAGGCTGCGATTTTGTGGATGATAGATTAGAAGGATCTAAGATACATGAACTGCAGTTGGGTTTCAATTGTTTGTCGCACGGACACACTACATTGCTTGTGGTGATATAAACGCTTTGTCTGCGTTCAGAAAGTAAGGTTATGTTGACGTCGCATCCCTAGCACAAATTTCATAGTCCCATTTGTAATCTCGGTGCATCACATGCACTTCATCCTGTCAGCAGAGGCCTAAATGCGATTCACAAATGTCACAACACGCAGAACATTTGAGGTAGATATTGGAGCTGGATCATAGTCATTCATATTCGTTGAAGGACGGTATCATGATAGAGACCCTCATAACCCACTCACATGCCAGGCAGGCTATGCACGCTTACCAAGTCCCTCATGGATACATCCATAACCGTATCCGCATCCAATCTATCCGTGTCCCCGCCAGTGCATCAGCCACCCTTCTGAATTCCTAGAAAGTGCCCGGGAAGCTATTCCGTCCATTAATTCGTGTCGTCTGAATGCGCTTGGGTCCGAGCCTATGCCGACGCCTCTCCCTTGGGCATGTTGTCCTTGATGGCTGCCTCCAACGCCTTTGGATTCGCGCCTACGACTTCGGCTACCTTCTCTCCATTCTTGAAGAGTAGGAAGGTGGGCATGGCGCGGATACCGAGTTCCTGGGCGACGTCAGGGACTTCGTCGACGTCGAGTTTGTAGAACTTAGCGGTCGGGTAGACGTCGGAGAATCTGGAATTACGAACTCGTTAGATTTTGTGCCAAAGATGGAGTTTTGGTTGGGTACTCTGAGCCGAAGGGGTTGATGCGGATGGTGTGGCTGGGATATTTCTTACTTAACGACCTGCGGAGCAATGACTTTGCAAGGTCCGCACCAGGTGGCGAAACAGTCGAGCACGATGAGTTGGTCTTTTGTTTTCAGAGCCTCATCGAATTCAGCCTTCCTACGCTCGCGAACACGTTAGCTCATTGTTCGCAATCCGCATCGCAAGCTGGTAGAAAAAAAAAGTCCGTCTATCATGCTCCTTTCTCGTCAGGGATCGGAAATAACTCACTTGGCCAAGTTGTGCACGCCCTCTTTGCCCATTTTGCTGGTATTCGAGAAGAACCGAGGTGTAAGCAGTGGTCGGTATAGGTTTAGATTTAGGGAGGTTGTTGTTGATGCTGAGCCTGTGATTACGGTTTCAATCGTAGCTGTGCGAAAGCGCGCGCTCGTAAGCAGTGTTCTTCGCAGCGTGGAAGCGGCAAGCATGATATATGCACCGGAGAGGGACAGAAAGCGGGCAAGTGAAACAAAAGTGAATCTGTGATTTCAAAGATTGGCTGTGATGGAATGCCCTGGACACAAGCCTCCCTCGGATTACAACTCAGTGATGCGCTTAGTCCGGGATGGGTGCAAAACTCGGCACAGGCACAGACAGCCGCAACACTCCCAAAAATGCCGAGTCGCTGGCAAAGGAAAACAGGTGGACTTACGAGATTTGGACAAAGTTTGGTATTTGAAAGAAACAGAGGGCAGGAGCTTCGTGGAGGAATTTGCGTCGCGATGATAAATCCCGAGGGTGGGCTTGATTACAAGTTGTTGCAATGACGTGCGCCCAACTTTGCCCAACAAAGGGAGGTGGGCTGGAGCTTAGTGGGGTCTTTTCTCGGCAGCCACCATTCGCCTCTTATGAAGTCCTCCAGCGCTTCTGCCGCAACCGCCGCAAACTGACAGCCGCTCCTGCGGAGGCAATCAGATTATACTTTGGTCGCTTCCCACATGCTTCGCCCACGAGCTGAACAGATGGCGCGTAACCATTGCCTCTGGAGCTGTCCCTTCAACTGCTATCCCACCCTCTGCCCCACTATCCGGCGCCCTTGTGGATGGAATGACCCAACACCAAAGCCAGCATTTCCAACACCGGTCAAACATCAGGTCATGATGAAGCAAGAAAATGGTACGATGTTCGCAGAGAAGGATGCCAAGCCATCCAGGACAACAACTCAAAGCCATCAATACATGTATTGAAACTACAGATTCAGCCTAAAAGAGGCACCTGACTGCTGACTACGGGCTCACGGACGGTCGACGGTCGACCGCATGCAGTATTCCTCTTTCGTTGAAGTCCCACGAGAATTGTAACCCGGCTGTCCGAATTCCGAAGGAGAAAAATAATTGCCACACACCCCTAGCCTGGCCTGCGGAGTCCAAGTCCGCCGTCTGATTTCCTCTATACCCATGCCAGGATTCCCAAAAAACTGTGAGTTTTTTTAAAGAAAAAAATGATTAGAGACGTTGTGTCTCGCAGCTTGCATACTGTAGACTCAATAGAAGTCAAAAATGGAAATTAAGTAGAATCCTCCCACCACCGCCTTTGCATATTCTTAGCCGAGGATCTTAAATTGAGCGCGACGATCAGCAACAGTTCTCATCTTAAATCGCCATTCCAGAATTGGTGTTATTCGAGGGTAGAAGGGAGGCGCCAGTACCGCAATGTTTGCCAAACTAAGATAAAATGAGGAAAGAGGTAAGGAAATGTTCAAATGAATGACTAGGGTGAGTGTAAGGTTGCTAGCAGTAATGACTGACAGGTACAAAGGAAATGAAAAAGAGAGGCGGGGTCTGGCAAACAAGCATAGTCCTGACATCTACTTCCTCGTCCAAGAATAGGTCACTCATCCTGTTCTGTCAGTTTACTTTGAGAGGCTGGGCTCGATCGCTTCTGGTCAATGGAAGATCGCTTTCCGGGGATGTCCAACAGCTTCGCAGAACCAGCACTGAGGTGTCGCCCATGGTTTTTTCCAAGGTCGACACTCTGAGCACGCTGAAGGGAAATGGGCTCACTATCCGAAGTGGGCGATTCTTGGTCAGCTGGACGCTCGGGGTTCGTAGCGGGAATTTCTTTGATTGGAGGTTTCTCAGCTTGGAAGTAGCCGAGTAATGCTTCGGTAGACTTGACGCGGGGTTGGCGATGCACTATCGTGGGCTGGCGACCAACACTGTTCTGCACTAGATTCTCTTCTTCCGAAGGCCTTTCAGCTGGTACTGGCTCTTCGTCGTCAGAATCGGCCGTGGTGTCTGTGGCTGCCATTGCTGTGCTGCTTGGCTTCCTCCTAACTACGTCACTGGTTTGTGCTGAACGTCGCCGCTCGTCAGGTTGTGGTGTTAACCTTTGGAAATACTCGTCGTCCGGTATGCCCAACTCCTCGTACGAGGCACTGAACTCCTCATTTTGCTTTGCAGTAGTAGACGATCCCACGCTGGAACGGATGTAGGATTTGTTCGACCTCCTCTTCAGCGGCTTGCCCGAGAGCCAGGATCCTTCCGAGTCCACAGAAGCAAGTGACTGCGACATCAAGCCCGCAGCAGGCACGATAGGACTGACAGGCGAGTCGGTTCGGGCGCCCGCTCCTGGGCTATTGGAATGAACACGAAGATCAGATGGAGGCTGACTTTCACGTTGAGCAGTTATTAGATTTGTTACTGCAGCTTCCGGGGAATGCACTCTTGAATCGGGAGGTGACAGCGGAAATTCAGGCAAGTCTTCACGGAACTTGGACATGGTTCTGTGGGGAACGCTGGAGGGTCGTCGAATCTGGACCGGCGGAGTTGGTGCGACCAAATGAGCAGGGAGGGGCTGGCGTGACATGCTTTCCCGCGATGTATTCGAGAATGACACTTCAGATGGCGTCGCCCTTGCCTGGTCTTGTGAGTTTCTCCTTCCGCGCCTGAAAAAGGAAGCAAATGCACGCATGCGCCTTCCCTCAGAGCTTCTTCGTCGGCCTGATTCCTTTTTGGAAGTCGCGGCTGTATCGGCGGACTCAACATGGTGCAGTGGACCGCTTGCCCGCGCGTCTGGTTCAATAGATTCGACCGGCGTCTCTCGTGCGGCTTTCTCGGAGAGCAATTCTGGCATCTGTGAGATGTTCGACGGTCCTCGAGTGTGGACGGGCGAGGTTGGCGGCGACGATATGCTTGCACGCGAATATCGCACAGCCTGTGCATCAGCCACCACAGGCTCCTCGACAGGAGTCTCCATGGGAGTAGGTAGTTGACTGTTCTCTTCGACATTGGTGGTAAACCCGGTAGTGTGAAGCCGCTGGGGTTTGGGTGGTGTCGAGGGACGGACATCTTCCATTGGTGTAAATGTGTCTCTCTCAATACCCAAGCCCACCACTCCTTTTGCCTCCCTTCGAGGGGTCGCGGGTATTCCACTCTGTTCACCAACCTTTTGTTTCTCTGCACGTCGTTCCAGGCGGCGACGTAGCCGCTCGTCGTCTGCCTTCCTCTTCTTCTCTCTCCGCCGCTTGTCTCTTTCTAATATTTCCCTTAATGCTCCTGCATCTAATGTATCTGCTAAATCATCGATGGTTTTGCTCCTCTTCCCCACTATGCCGTCTTTTGGCGGTGGCGTGCGTTCTTTTCGGGGTTCGGTCTTGCTTTGGTGTGAAGTCGGTGAAGGGCCTGACGCGCTGTAGCAGTATTGCGAGCCTACTGAGTACCGGATCCTGGGCCGCGGGGAAAACATGTCGAGGGCGCTCACCCTGAAGGCGCGGCTTTCCGAGCTCCCCGACATGGATGAGTGTATTGAGTCTTCGACGGGGAGCGATATGTTGGAGGCTGGGCGTTCGAAGTGTCGGTTGAGTCCGCCTTTGACTTTCTTGCTGTCTCGCCGGAGCAATCCCCCAGAGTGGCCTGCCGGGCGCTTCTGAGGGAGGGGCACGCTCATTGCTCTAATTTCCTCCTCACGGACATGGTCATTCTTCCGCTTCTTGCTGGACTTTCGCCGTGGCAGGGCCGACTCGTAGGCGGAACGTTTGCGCAGGGATTGAGGCCGTTGTAGCTTTCCCCGCTCCCTTGCCGTGGGGAGGCTCGAGTGAGAGTGGCTCTGGAAGTTGTATGGGATGCCGTGTTCGTTGGTGACGGGGCGGAGGTGCGGGCTCTGCTCGAGGCGCTTCGATATGGGGAGGGCGGTGATATCTTCGGCACTGCTGTGCGGGAGTGAGTGCGAGTCGTGCTTCACAAAGGGAGGGCCGGCAGGCGGGGGATTGGGCGAGCTTTTGTCGACGTCGCGCATGGAGGTGGAGTGCGCACTCCTTCTGTTCCGGCGACTGCTGCGCCTTTTGGGTGTCCTTCTCAGGGCATCGTTGTCGGCAGATTCGTGAGCATAAGCTGCAACAGGCCGCTTCCCTTCTGCGACAGCGGTGGATCGACCCGTTTTTAATTTAGCGGCGCGCCGCGAAAAAGGCCACATCGGCATCGGGTGAGGGAGTTGCGCAGCGAGGCGGGTTGGAAATGAATCGTCGTGGCGCTGAGTGCACGATCTCCCGGAGCGTGTGCGGGACGCGGCTGCTATCTGGTGCTGGTATCGGTGTCGCTCCGCTGGTCCTGCATCTTAAGGACGCTGGCCGGACGATGAGCCGCAACGGGAGGGGGAGGAGTGCAGACGCTGCACGGGCTGGGTTGGTGTTGTGGGTGAAGCGCGAAGGGGGCGTGCCGGCGGAGGTGAGAGTGTGCAGCGCGAGAAGGGATGGATGGGTGATGTAAGGGGAGGGCGACAGTTCCAAGGTTTGGTCGAGAAGACTTCACGCGAGCTAGTTAAGGCTGGCGGCCTTTGCTCAGGATGCCAGTGCTCCAGGGCAGGATGCTTGGATGGCCGCTGTTCCAAGTCAGACAACCCCTCCACATGGGCAGCCAAAAATACTTATTTTTGCTCGGGGAATTGGCTGGCCCGTCGTGGCGCCCACTGGCAGTCAAGCTTCCTACCGGCTGCTGCGCTCAGATGCACGCTGCTTTTTCGCTGCACAAGGCGGCTCGTCGCAGTGGATTCGCGCTGCTAACAAGCACATCCCCATGCGCCGTAGCGCCGCAAGCTCAACAAGGACGAGCACCGCCGGCCGACGCTCGTGAGGATCGCTGGCTTTTCGTTCACGGTGGCAAGCCGCCAGAGGCTGCTCTCACACGCCCCGTCGTTAAGAGCTGTCGTTCGTGTCAGTGGCTGATAGTTAGACTTCTCGAAGACCACCCCGGCCCCTCCTTCAGCATCTGGGCGCAACTCCCGCTCATTAATGCCTGTGCCAATCATGCCTGGAAGCCGACAGGTCCTTCCACAGAGGCGAATTGCTGTGAGAACTGCTCAATTTCACCCAGCCTGTCGCAGTCGACCCTCGCGCCTGGAGGCCTGGTGCTGCTCACGAGGCCTGAAAACGCTGCGTATCCGATCAATGGTGCTGGCGGCCGTCGACAGCCACACGGAATAGGACTGCAGCTCGCTGCGGACACAATATTGAAGCAGAGGGACGTGGAGAGCCACGTCTGTCCTGCAGCGGCCAACGGTGAACGCTAATCCCGGTGCATGGGGCCAGATCCAATCGAGAGCCGAGGGCCCTATTTGGCGCATTCCCGCCATCGTGATGCTGTTATCAACAAGCCCGTGCCCAAACCTGAGAGGACCTCTACTCAGGTACGCAGGTATTCAGGAATGCATCCCGCGCGCACAACGACCGGTGCAAGCGCCGTCAGAACGCCAATCTACCGAGCGAGAAGACTTGTTGCCACTGATGCAGAGGGCGACAATATTGGGTGCGCACAGATATCTCTCGCACTTCTCGCGTCTGAGCGCCTGAGCCTCAGCCATGTGCAACTCGTTTTGGCATGTGGGAGCATGTTTCATGTGCAACATACTGGGCTCACAGCTTAGTTCGACCCTGTGGTGCAGCTCTCTCTGGTAAGCTGTTGGTGAAGGGATGAAACCTTTAGATCCGCTTACCATCTTGCAGCTGAAGTTCTTTTTTGACTTTCTGGTGATTTTTAGGAAGCTTCTCTTCGGACTCCACACTCTGACTGGACGTCTAATCTCTGTGGCTTTGTCGAATACGGGGTCTCAGCATGAAACCGTCTAGAGACTGTTGTGACAGCTATCGAGACTAGAGGCCATCAGCCCTAGGAGTTCGGACAACTCCGGAGTAGAGGAAAAGGATCTCTGCATTGCGGATTCGGGATTGGCCGTGATACTGCTAGGGTGAGGTATTTCTTATTGTTTCTTTGCCTTGAATTGTTTGTTTTTGCTTTTCGGCACAGTTTCTGCGTCTCAAGACGCACAACTATTGTGTAAATTTAATTCCATACCATCTTCATATTTCCACTGTACCCAATTGCAACATTTAGGAAGGATGAATCTGGAAAGCATGCTCTAAAAATCTTACACGAGGCTTGTTTTCCGGCTTCGCTGCTAATCAACCGCAGGAATACTGTTATGAACGACTGGTTGGGCAGACGTGACGCCGCCAAGTCCAACCACACACGTAGGAAGATCAGCCGGCCCGGGTCACGTGACAAAGTTGGGATCTAAGGAACACGCCAGAATAGAGACAACATGTCAGGCTTGGCAAACATGTCCTAGATGTACCAGCGTGTTTAAAGAACTGCGATCATCTGTAGGTAACGTACTTCATGGGCGAGTTGCTCACACACCCGAGTCGCTCACTTTTGCCAAGACCCCACCCTAACAAACTCTATTATAGCCTATAACAACCC